GGTACACCCTGACCCTTACCTACTTACGTCAGTGTTCCTTTTAAGAAATTCTCTAATCTAAACATTACTCCATTACAATAAAAATTTAATCTTCGTGTACGCGAGTGGGTGACTTAGCAACATTATCACTGTCTCGGGAAGATTACATGCGTGTATTTCGTCGAAAGTGATGTCCAGAGTGAAAAAAAAAAAAAAAAAAGAAAACAAGTGAAGCGCGTGTAACCTGGCCGGCTTCTCGGCCACCTCGGGCAATTTGTCCTCTGACAAATCCGCGAACGGGCACCGGCAGTGACGTAACAACGTTCGTGGTCAGGGTGCCCGTGGATTAACTTGTCCCAAGAGAGAAAGTCCGCTTTTCCGTTCGGTTCCCACCTCGTCGCGCCTTTTTTTACCAATTCTCCGCCGATTGCATAGCATCGTGTCCCCCGTGGGTTGTGCAACCTGCTCCACCGCAGCTCGTGTGCTTCTCGAAGGAAACGAAGAAGAAAAAAGAAAGAAAGAAAAGAGGATGCGTGCGTGGGAAAGAGAGGGAGAGAGAGAGAAAGCAGATAAACGAAAGAGTGATCATATCGGTGGCGGGGGTCAGAATTAACGATAAAGTCGCACGGTCATGAGATATCGTTGGTATATCTGCTTCTTCTTTCACAAGAAGTCAAGTTTATTGAGCCGTAGAAACGGGCTTCACAAGGGGGGGAAAAAAAGAGACTCGGTATCTTGTCCCTTTGACATCTAGATACTTTGTAGCTGAACTCTGTCCGGTCGATTGGATTTCAAATCGATTTTAGTATTAGGTCACATCTCGTAACGCGATTTTCTCGGTACGTTGAGTAAGAGCAAACAATTTTCTGTTGAATAGGAAATTATATATTCCCAACTTCCGCGTAGACCTTCTTTTTTTTTTTTTTTGAATAATTTACTGATAAATTTTGATTAAGTAGTGATTGAAATGATTCATCCTCCAACTGTTTGCAGGCTTTGCGATTAGGCTGTTTGCTCCAAATTGTTTGAACTGTTTCCACCATCGAGTTACTTCAATAATTTCTTCGGTCACTTGAGATATATGTTTTTCATTTACAATGGTGGATACATTAATTATTTCAACAAATTTGTGTAATCTAAGAATATATGGAATTATGTTTTTTGGCCACGGTCTTCTGAAACGTATGAAATGTTTGATCAACATTTATGAATTTTTGATACAATGTCTGATGGCCCCTATTTGTAAGAGAGTACATACGCTGAGTAGATAAGCGATGTATTGCGTTGATTTATGTTGTTTTAAATTCGAGTATCTAGAATGTTGTGCAAGCTACGATGGGATAACCTAATTGTTCGAACGATAAACCAGTGGGATAGGACGGATCTAATTCGTCGACGCGCATCCGATATATATCGACTCGATGGAAATATTATTATTATTATTCACTGGAGTAACGATTCTCGATATTATTGGTTTGAAGACTTTGATGTTAGTTATAATTTTGCATAAACACTTTCCGGTAGTCTTTGGACTGTTCCATCCACTGAGCTGGGTTTCCCCCTTAGTCATCTTTTATGACAGGCTGGGATTCCATTGCTGTTACCATTATTACTTAGTTAATAATAATTATTAATTTAAATATGGAATTTAATAGGTTAAACTACAGAAACTGGATTGAAACTCCAACTTATTTTTCCCTTTGAAATGTAATAAATGCATACATTTTACAGTCTACTTATTACTCGCGATACAGATAGACATGGTACGCATTGGTCTATAATTAATAAAATGTAGAATGATGTAAGAAGTTGGAGTTAAAGAATAAAAATAAAAAAAAAATAGAATACACATGATAAAGGAAAGTAAATAAAGCAAGCAACATAATTCTCTCAGTAAGAAAATGGAACTTTGTATTTTGAATCGTCTTGAAAGATTCCAATATATAATTATGATTATTCGTTTTTTTTACTCACGGAGAATCAATCACTATTTTTCAACTTTATTGGGAAAGTATTTGGGCACTGTACCTACGAAAATAATTGGTGAAAGTTCTCCAGTTTGAGACCGAAGGCGAGCCAGACTGTTCGATTATCTGCGCGATCGCGTGATATCTTTCGGATCGAGATACCAGCGACGCGTGGAAGAAATTAGTTTCTGACTAGTTATGTACATTACAGTATGTAGGTACATACTACGAAATTCCCAATCGAGTTTAACCGTTAAAGTGACGTTTACCGAGTAATAAATTTATAGTTCACGGATTATTTGTCATGTTTCACGTTATGGACTATTTACGTTATCAAATGTCTTACGTTACTCTTCTTTTTTTAAATCAGTAGTTTCATCTAACGATATTACAGCACTGTGGTGATTGCAACAAATTATAACCGGCTAACTTAATGAATCATGTGTTTTGACCGAGTTTAACTATGTTTATCCGTACTTTCGTTCTAGACCCATAAACAACGTTGATGTAGTAAAATAGTTTTTATTGAAGTAATTGATACAAGAATAGATTATTACAAATGTATGTACAAAATTTCACATGAATTACATAATCCGTCTTGAAGACTGAAAGAAAAATATTAAAATTAAATAAAGGAAATGTTTTAATGGTAGGAGGGACATTTTATGTATAATTTTAATTATCTTCGATTAAATTTTTCATGAAAATACAAACAATTGCATTCTTTTATATTGGAAGGAAGCTGTTGTTCGATCGATTGAATTATATTATCAATTCAACTATAGTAAGTGTATGAATTCTTTATCTTGAAACATGAGAAGACTTATTGATATTTCATGAATCGGGCCTAGAATTTCGTTTTCCAGACTCATGCCTCCACGTATGATATGGTATCATACTAAACTGGTTGGCTTTGACCCAGTAATCGTTTCTGTTTGATGATGGCATTGGATTAATTATCGGGTTATTCTACCGGATGTTTAGACTTTAAAAACTTTGATTACGGACGTGCAGAACCGCTGTGTAAATTCCGAAAATAAGCGCTGGGCTTGGGTCTTTGGATTCCTCGAATGTACCGCACATAACATTTGAAAATGTTCATTTACAAAGTAGACGAATTGTTTTGAATATTGTTACATTCGACCTTATCAAATTCTGATCGAGCCGAGTGGATTTTGTAATTGTATGTAAAGTAATATTGTATCGATAGAATTTCAAATTGCTAATTTATTTAATTTACACGAAATTTGGCATGCATTAGTCCTTTCGATCGCAATTAATTAACGAAAATACTTAATTAAATTGAATGAATGCCTCGTGCCTCATACCTCCGTATTACTGAAATAACATGTATGAAGTATAATTAAAATTACTTTTACCAGAATACGATTATTAGATTGCGGATTTTATGCGTTTATAACATACATAATATTTAAAAGTTAGCATAAAATATACAGCATAAATACACAGGTCTAATCAAAAGTTTAGCGAAGTTTACAGAGATTTTTACTTTATATAAAACCTAATAGAATTCTTATTAGGAGAACAGTTCTATTTGGTTCTAGTCTCTGAAAATTTATTTATAACAATCTCTATATGCATACGCATCCAGAGTCTAGTAATTACATTGATAATCAAAAGAAACTTTAAAATTCATAAGTTATTTAAAAACTGGCACACGTAACCCCATTCAGTAATTTTTACATATTCCATATCACTGGACATAATTTATATATTCACCGTACTTACTCATTGCGAACACTAAGAGGCTAAAATAATAATACTAAAAGTAGTAGGGTAACCGTACTTAATATGGAACACCCGATTTTAACCCTTTAACTACGAATAAAAATAAAGAAATGTTTTTTTTTATAAATGAAACCAACGCCAAAACACAATAAAATCAATCAATATTCGTATATAAATAGTTAAATATGTGAAAAGTTTAAATCTTTCGAGGTTATGGTAAAAAAAATCAGAATCAGTGATTCGAAAGAAAAAATTACATGATTTCGAGTGATGCACCACACGGTGCATGTGTCTTCTCTGAAAATGGAGGTGTTTCAACGATTTCAAGATCACTTATTTTCTTTAAATAGAATTATCCTTTTTTTATACACTATTTGATCCATTTTCGAATTCCCTACAACAAAAGTATTAAGGTACTTGTGTCCAAAAACGATTACTAAAAGAGTAAGACTAGTAGCATTAGTAGACTCGACCGAAACCAGAGAAGAAACGTCCAAACCTAGGTTCAAATGCTATACAATGTTGAAGAACCGAATTTAAAATATCTTGTAAACTAATCATTTAGATATATTGAAAATGGATTTCTTATTTTGCGATCACTCAACCATCACGAACTCGGTGATCCGAATCTTCATCTTTTTACGCGTTTTAGAAAATGATTGCTCCTCCAACCAACGTACAATCGACCGATGATAATTTTGTTTGCTTCGTGTCAAGGGCACACATACGTACGTACATCGTAACGGGTGCTACAACTTTGGAAAAAATAAGAGAGAGAGAGAGAGAGAGAGAGAGAGAGAGAGAGAGACAGAGAAAAAAAAATGGCGGGAACGATATGAAAATGAAGTTATCGCCGAAACCACAGTCACAGACGAGATATAAGAATAGACCTAACATTTTATGGGACTTGGGTCGAGATTCATAGTCACTGCTTATTCTTAAGCAAATGCTTAAGTCCCCAGTTATAAATGTGTAGTGCATACGTATACACGTGTACATTCATAATTGGGGACTTAAGCATTTGCTTAAGAATAAGTAGTGACTATGAATCCCAGCCTTGGTGTCTCACGAAAATTACGCTGGTTTCCGATATCTGGAATTAAATTCAACACCGTGATAATACATACATTATTGCCCCGGTTTCGCTAGCAAGGAATAGAATTCTGAAATGGTACGGGGGCTTCTGACGTCCCCGAAGCATGGGACAGAAAATTACATTGCATGTTAGGTCTATCCTTATATCTCGTCCGTGTCACGGTCTTTTGGGTACGAGCTGTCGATAACATTGATTCCGTTTGTTCGCAGGTCCCTGGAAGTGTTCACGCAATACGGCGTGACGCACTCGGAACTCCTTCGAACTCAACGTACGGCCGGTGGTTCCGGATTAGGCGGACCTCTCAGATACAAGAACTCCATTATACTATGGCTCCGCTGCGACCAGGTAAGTCGATCGCATCGGGCACACGTGTGTGCCTCTCTGTCCTCTTGCTGGCCGTTTTTTGAGGTCTTCCTCCAGTGTGACCACCCAGCAAAAATATTTCGTAACAATTTAATGCAGGGGTAAGATACTATAAATCTGAACAAAAAAGTATTGAACTTTTATTTGATTACGTTTCATTCTATAAAAGGATCATTTTTACTATATTACCTTATTATTGAAATATTTAACTGTTTAGATATCCCGCAAAATTTCATTTGTTGTGTGCAAAGCCATTTTAAGGGGTTTTACCACACTACAAATATAAAATTTTGTAGTACACTAAATAAGTGTATTAATAAATAGGCAACATTTCATTCATGTTAAAAATTTCGTTCACTGAAAAAACATTCCTAAAAACTGACAATGTTTCAGGGCTTTACAGTGGCAAGATTCCTTAAATGTAAAGCAAAAGTTTTACATAATGGGGTCCAAATTAACTCATATTAAAATATTTAATTATTCCACTTGTAATTAATTATTCAACTATATTTCTATTATGGCTAATGCTAGTCGAATTCCGTGAGTAGGAGATCAGGGTGGGGAAGAAGGTTACCGAAGAATGGAGGGATGGGGAGGGAAAAGAGATGTTACGCTTGTTCCACTGAATGTGACATACTGTAGGAAGGTGAAAGAAAAGAAAAATATTAAACTTATTATTATTATTATACGGAAGGAAGAAAGTACTAGATCTTTTGGTGAATGTATTAGAATGCCAAAAATTAAAAAAAAAAAAAAGTACTAAATCTAGTACGACAATACTAAGTGGTGGTCACACTGGGCTTTCGTCGCCGTTCGCTTCCCTGTCGAAGCAACAACTCTGTTTCCCCCCCTGGTAGAAATCCGCGGGAGGACGTTGGCCGACCGTTTTCAAGGCTGGCCACCGACTACGGACCGAAGCTATCGCGGCGACGCGTTTCATAACATTGTGCTACTTGATAAACGATAAAGGTTTATCGCCCCGCGCCGTTATGCTCGCAACGAGCCGTTAACGAACGACTCGGGCAAAGATAATTCGTCCATTGAGGGTTCCCGTTTATTACGAGGCGTCGTCACATGTAAACTTGTGATTGCGCGCGCGACCGGTGGTCTTCGTTCGATGGTTTGCCGCGCTTTTTCGTGGACGGTATCACTCACAAGGGATATCACTGAAGTGTAACACGACGATTTTGACCCGGTTTAGTACAAAAGTAATATTTTCATAAAATATTTGACACGTATTTTTTTTGTAGTTGCTGACATCCATATGTAGGGGGTGAAAACAACCCTCGATGTCGTGGGTGAAAAATACGTTTTCCTTAATATCTTGCAAATTATTCGACATTGAAAAGATATTTGCAAACAAAAATTGTGTGCTTTTTAAATAATAAACATAATTGCCTAAGTAGCTTTTCGAAGTACGATAAAAATAAGAAATAATTGTTTAAAGAAATTGGTCTTTTGAAGAACTACTTAATTAGTTCTTTTTATTATGAAAAAATATAAAATTTTTGTTAACAAATATCTTTTCAATGGCGAATAATTTGCGAGATATTAAGGGAAATGTATTTTGAGGGTTGTTTTCACCCCCTAGATGTGAATGTCAGTCAATACATACAAACACATGTTAAATACTTTTCAAAATACTACCTCTATACCAAACGGATTGAAAATCCCTTGTCAGACGAAAATCAAGAATGACGAAGTTGCGTTTGAGGCTTCTTTTCCGAGTTATTAATTGATATGGACGCGATGGGTTGTTCTACTTGAGAGACGCGCTCTTCAACTGTTTCACAAGATGGTTTCATTCATTCTATCTCATTCATTATGTAGGTCATCGATAAAGTATCAAATTTTGTTTCAAATTTTTTACCTTCATACGTCCTAAACGTAATAGTTAATGAGATATTTACAAAATAATCAGTATATTGAAGTTGAGGTGCATCAGTTCGAGCACCTATAGCTTCCAGATAGTAAGTACGTATTAAAAATTATTTTGTAAATATCTCGTTAACTATTAGGTTTAGGATGTACTAAGGTGAACACATTTTTACTCAGAATTTGATATTCTATCGATCTATGGTACAAAATATAGGTCATTTCGTTAAAAAAAAATCAAGGTGACATTGAAATCTCTGAAATACCTCCACCCACAAAAAAAGTACATACCTTATAAGATGTGCCCCTTGATGCCATTTAAGTTTCACGCCTCAAAATTTTCATAAAGTGTACTGTTAAGTCATTATTCGAGGTGATCAAGTTAGCTGAGACATCCTGTATATCTACGTTCAATGATATACCTTCATTGTTTTTATATGTTGTAATTTATGTTATTAGAATTGATTTTAATTTGCAGTATTTAAGATTATGTGTGAATTAAAGATTATTGTACCACGTTCCCATAACACCGTTTATATTCCTCGATAAACGATAATATTTATCGGACCTCGTTGCTCGGCTGCTTAGTTGATCGTTTTCTCGGACAGACCAATGTAATCGTCCACGTTATCATCAATATTTTTTTCCGTGTCCGAAATAAAGATACGAGGCTTCAAGAAATCAGAGTCCGTGTATGTAGACAAACACTTAAATCGATTGGCTTTCTAGCTTCTAGAAGGCACTTTTTTGAAGAAGACAAACGTAGTTTTATAATCCATTATGCCATAAATATCTAGAAGTATAGAATTGCGGAATAAATTTCTGCCATTGAAATTGATGAATGAATGATTTTTGACGTTTTAATCATTTTTACCATAAAATTTCTACTTTTTTTTTGAACAATTAACACTCTTAAAGTTTCAGATTGAAACCTTTATTAGTATTATAGATATTTCTTCTAAAAATTCGTAAAGTATGATTTCCATATTCATGAGTTTATAATTTTTTCTAATACTTTTATTCTATACCGGTAAGCGTTTAGAGTTTCTTCCCACTCCTCTCACCAGGTAAAAAGCTTAGTCTTTTGTCAATCACAGTCGTTTATTGTTTCCAGTCGAGTGAACAGTGACATGCAACACGTAAGATTTACACGTAAGAAAACAAATTACGATTAATAAATGAATAATTATATTCGGCTATTCGTTTATTTTTGTGCGTTATCAATTATTATGTAACTCGCGCTAGCGCCTACCAGTGGAGGTTGCGGAGATCTAAAGGGACATGATAGTTATTTTATTTACTGTATATTTAATTACATATCGATCATGTCGAAGTCAAACATTTCCTAACAGATCAAAACACCCCGGAGCATATTTAACTAACTTCTTCTTACTATAACACATTTACTAAACTAGTCTAACATAGATTTTAGCATGAACTTAATTTTTTTTTTTATTTGTGTGCATCTCGCGTCGTATAATCGATGATTTCTTGCGAAAGTGCGTCGCAGTCAAAGGGTTAATACAATTTTCATAACAGTTACTCAACCACCCAGTGGCGGTGGTCTCCGTTCTCGCGATAATAAACACATGCGACCGTTATTATAATTTACAGCATGTGTCCTGTACTGCACTCACGTGGGGACCTTTGGATCGACCAATAAACCCGATCGATTGAAAGTTTCCATTTTTCCATCGTTTTTATTATGCGATAAATCAGATCCTGTACCCACTTTAGAGGTCGTGATCGAGAGTACCGTTCAACGGGCTCGCGCGGGGGGTAATTACATAATCTTGTCGGCGGCTGTCACGGCGTTCAAATTTTCAGAATTCATTGACGCGGATAGCCGAACGATAGAAACTGCCGTCCGTGTTCCAGATGCCGGCGTAGAGAGTTATTCGTACAACGCCGCCGTCGGTTTCGAAATCGGAAGCCGATCCATGCGGCCTTGCGTATCCGCGCGGATTGTAACCGGCCGTTCGTGAATTTCTTTCACCTGGACTAGGGCAAATCGGAACTTTCCCCCGAAGGGGCCATTGTGTAACCGTCCGCTCTGACGTACACAAATAATGGAAAAATTGTGCAATAATCGCTCGCATTCTTGTGTTTCTTTCGCTTGCAATAGGAACGTTTCATTTATTAGGTCGGTGCATAAGTGAGATTCAGGTGTTGTTTATTTAATTTCGCTCATTTGCTGCAATAATAACACAGCACGAAGATCACGATTTTAGGGAAAACATGTTTGAATGTTTTGATCTCTATAATTTTGTCGAAAAAAAATATATATATATATTTTTTTAGTTAGGTCTGTATACGTTTCCTGTAAAGAATTGTTGCTCCTCGCATACGAGTTGGTGTAGTATGTGTATTTATAAGTAATCCACTGTTTTTCAATTGTGAAATGATATATTTTAAATGGAAAATATCTTATCGACTTTCCGTTGAGGAATAGGTTGTTAGAAAGTTGTTACGAATACAGTTAAAATAGTATAGTGCCTTGACTCTCATAGAAGCGGATAGAGATTCCATCAAGAAATAGTGCATTATTTATTGGTACACCTGATAAAATAAAATATTTCCATTAATAACTACGTGTTCTTTATCGAACAGTCTATTAACAGAAATGATTAAGAAAGGAAATCATAAGTATCTAATGGTTACTTGATCCACTATATTATGTAGAATGAAATTAATTACAATTAACAAATTTAATTTTGTTTCAATATAGTCTAAAATTTCGAAATCATAGTTACATTGCGATTATCACTTTTAATGTTAGACCTTATAACGAGGCCGACTGAATCTAACGGTAAAGATGTAACTATCGTTAAACAAAAACAAACAGTCAATTTATGTTCTGATAGTTGAAGTGTTCCGGATAGAATAAATAAAACAGCTAGCGTACCATTCACTGTAATTTTATTACTTCACTTCCAATATAAATAAAGTCAACGTTCGCGATAACCCAAGTTTAATTAGAATTTTTATTTAGAGATAAAAATGTTTTATCTTTAATTGATTATATTCTTACGTATTCTTGACGATGGGGGCCATTTATCTCGCGTGAAATTAGAACAGACGTTCTGACCGATGCACGCCGTGACCAA